AGCATCGTTTCTGATTCGACCCCCACCCCCACCCCCAGAACTGAGGGGTGGTGCGCGATACAGGCAGAGCATGCCGCACCCAGGAAGTCCACTGGTGTGGTTGTCTTCTCTGTGTCTGGCTGGACCTCAGTCAGCCAGGCCAGTGTTTGTTCTCTGCCCTTCCCCGGGATCTGGTGCACAGGATTGTGGGTAACTAGCCTGACCTCTTTGCCCTGACCCTAGGAGTCTGGAGTACGCGCTGTGGTGTCCAATCAACCTGGACTGAGCGTGTTGTTGGAGGGGCTCCCGCCCGGCACTGAGGCCCAAAGAAGAGTCTATCGAGGCTCACTTCTTCACTCCACCAAGTCCCTGAGCTCCTGTTATGTCCTGAGTGCTGCTCTAGACGGGATACTGACGGGTCCCTGTCCCCGAGGAGTCCACCTAGCCATAGTGGGGTAGAAAGACAGTCGGTAGAGCCGGCGGGGTGGCTCACCCGGTGAAGGTGTCTGCTGCCAAGCCGGGAGACCTGGGTGTGATATCTAGAGTCTACTTAGTGGAAGGAGAGAACTGATTCCGGAAAGTTGTTCTCAGACCAACAGGTGAGCACTGAGGCGAGTGTGTGCCCTCCTCCCGACAACATCCACCCACCCATCCATCCATCCATCCATCCATCCATCCATCCATCCATCCATCCATCCATCCATCCATCCGTCCGTGCATACATACCTAAATACAGTGTAATAAAGCACTTTAAAAACAGAAAAACAGCCAGGCGGTGGTGGCGCACGCCTTTAATCCCAGCACTCGGGAGGCAGAGCCAGGCGGATCTCTGTGAGTTCGAGGCCAGCCTGGGCTACCAAGTGAGTCCCAGGAAAGGCACAAAGCTACACAGAGAAACCCTGTCTCGAAAAAAACAAAAAACAAAAAACACGTAACCCAGAGAAGACAGTGACAAAGGTCGTATTGAGTACATGGGAGAGAAGAATCAGCTGGCTCTTTTGGCCTGGGTGACCTCTCTGGATAGGTAATGCTAGCCTGAGTTCCAAAGGACGCAAAGGTGTCAACGGGGCACAATTGAGGAAAAGGACATTCCTGGTAAGAGGGACAGCCTGTGACACTCTCCTGAGTATGAGCTCCATGTGTCAGAGCACACTGGACAGGGAAATCTATTTAGTGTATCCTGATAGGATTTTTTAATTTAGTTAAATTAAATTCTATTTTATTTGAATGGGTGTTTTGTATCACTGACATTTTTTATTTAAATTTAATTTTATGTACATTGATGTTTAGCCTGCATGTATGTCTGTGTACCATGTGCCTGCCTCTTGTCCATAGAAAACTTGTCCACCAGAGCCCCAGGAACCAGAGTTAAAAATAATTGTGGGTGGCCATGTGGGTGCTGGGAATTTAATCTCGGTCCAGAGCAACAAGTACTCTTAGCTGCTGAGTGAGCTCTCCAGCCCTGACATGGTTCGTTTTTCGAGACAGGGTTTCTCGGTGTAGCCTTGGCTGTCCTGGAACTCACTCTGTAGACCAGGTTGGCCTTGAACTCACAGATCTGACTGCCTCTGGCTCCCGAGGGCAGGGATTAAAGGCGTGCACCACCATCACCCAGATCACAGTCTTTGAGTGCCTTGCACTTAGTGTTTCGGGGACTTTGGAAGATAAATGTACACATCTGGTTCTACACATCTGTGTCTTATTTAGCCTCGAGGCACACTTTGGGCTGCAATCTAACATATTCATGGCCTGGGGTGGTAGCTCTATCCGTAAAGCGCTTGCTTACAGGCATGAGAACCTGGGTTCGATCCTCCAGGACTTGAGGATCCCTGGGACTCTCCGGCTGAGGAGCCCCTTCCTGCTGAGAGCAGACCAGTGCCAGACTGCCTCAAATCCAGGTAGAAAGGGACTAGGGGATGACAACTGAGGTTGTCCTCTGCCTTACACACACACACACACAAGTGCACTTAACACAAATACAAACACACACCACTTCTGAATTAGTCAGGGCTCTCTAGAGGAACAGGACTTATAGAACGAAGATGTCTGTATCTATATATTGCTATGTCTATATATAGGTATATATGGAAATTTTTTAGAATGGCTTACAGACTGTGGTCTAGGTAGTCCAATAATGGCTGCCTACCAATGGAAGGTCCAAGAACCCAGTAGTTGCTCAGTACACGAGGCTGCACGTCTTAGCTGGTCTTCTGTATAGGCCAGAATCTCAAAGAAGTAGGCTCTAATGCCAGTGAAGGAATGGATTTGTCAGCGAGAAGAAGCAGACAAAGAGCAAAAGCTGCCTTCTTCCATGACCTTTACATAGGCTGCCAGGAGAAGGTGTGGCCCAGATTAAAGGTGGATCTACCCTTTAATCTGGATTAAAAGTGGGTGTTCCCACTTCAAGGGACTTAATTAAGAAACAAAGTCTCTCACAGGTATAAAACCCACTTGAGTTTTGGTTAGTTCCAGATGTACTCAGATTGACAACCAAGAATAGCCATCACAAGTCCCTCCCACCAGGAATCATCTATTCCTGTCTGCTGCTCATGCAGAGGACCTGGGTTTGGTTCTCAGCCCCCATGTGACATTTTTTTATTTGTTTGTTTGTTTGTTTGTTTGTTTCGAGACAGGGTTTCTCTGTGTAGTTTTGGTACCTGTCCTGTATCTCACTCTGTAGACCAGGCTGGTCTTGAACTCACAGAGATCTGACTGGCTCTGCCTTTGGATGCTGGGGTGATGCATGCACCACCACTGCTCAGCCCATGTGACAACTTAAAACCACCTGTAATTCCAGTTCTAGGGGATCCAATGCCCTCTCCTAGCCTTCATGGGTACCAGCCACACATGTGGTATACATATACACATACATGCAGGCAAAACACTCATACACACACACACACACACACA